TTAACAGTTTAAGGAGAATAGATATTAAATTTTCTTTAAATGCTTGGTAGAATTCAACTGTGAAATAATATGGTCCTAGAATTTTGCCACTGAGAGTATTTTTATTACAAAATCAGTTTTGTTTCTAGTAATTGGTCTGCTCACATTTTTTTATTTCCTTCTGATTCAGTATTGGGCAATTATGTTTCTGGGAATTTTTCTATTTATTTTAGTTAGTATAATTTTTTTGTCTTATAATATTTCATAATATTCTCATACAATTCTTTCTTTTTCTGTGGCATCACTTTTTACATCTCCTCTTAATTCTGATTTTATTTAGATCCTCTCTTTTCTTTTCTAGTTGAGCCTAGCTAAATGTTTATCAATTCGGATTATATTTTTGTAGAAACAGATCTTAGTTTCATTGTTCTTTTCTATTGTTTTGGTTAATCTCTATTTCATTTATTTTTCCTCGGATCTTTATTATTTTTTTTTCCTTCTACCAACTTTGGACTTTGTTCTTCTTTTCCAGTTCTTCATGTGTTAAGTTAGATTGTTTATTTGAGCTTTTTCTTGTTTCTTGAGACAGATTTGTATCACTATTAGAACGGTTTTGCTGCCTCCTAAAGATTTGAACCATTGTGTTTTCATTTGCATTTGTTTCCATGTATTTCTTAATTCATTTTTGATTGCTTCACTGACCTTTTTGTTGTTTAGTATCATATTAGCCCCCTAGTGTTTATGCTTTTATCAGTTTTTATTTTCTTATGATTGATTTCTACTTTCATACAGTCATGGTTGAAAAGATGCATAGTATGGTATTAATCTTAAATTTTTTGAGATTCATTTGTGGGCAAACCTGTGCACTATCCTATAGAATGTACTATGTGTGCTTGAAAAGAAAAGTGTGTATTCTGTTGTTTTGCCATGGAATGTTCTGAATATATCTGTTGGGTACATCTGGTCCAAATGTTATTCAAAAACATTGTTGTTACCTTGTTCATTTTCTGTTTGGATGATCTGTCCACAATATAAGTGAGCAATTAAAGGTCACTACTATTATTGCATTATTGGCTATTTCTTCTTTTATGTCTGTTAATAATTGCTTTATATATCCATGTTGGTTTCATAAATATTTGCAATTGTTATATCCTCTTGTTAAATTATTCCCTTTATGGATATGTAATGTCCTTTGTGTCCTGTTATAGTCTTTTTAAAATCTCTGATCTTATTTATTTATTTATTTATTTTGTTACTCTTAGGAAATATCACTTTTGACTGAACTCGGACTTAGAGGTAGAAGCTCTCAGAGAGAACAACCTCGATCTCTTGACATTCTGTTCCTAGTGGTTTTTCTTTGACTTCCTTCATTTTCTTGGCCGAAAGGTGAGCATATTCCACAGCCTCTTTCCTAATTTCTTTTGTACACTATTTCTTCAGAGTAATATACTAACATTTGTGTTGGAGGACACATGTAGTAACAAGATACTGAACCTTGGGTGCTTTAGTTCTAGGTTTTTTACCTTCTTTGCTGAAGGATTTTATCACAGCATACTGGTAGACATCCTCTTCTCTAGAGATATTGAAAAATTTGCAGGTTCTGCTAATTCTTTTGGGCCCCAGGCAACAAGGCACATTACTATCAGTGAGTCTAGGAATATTCTTCTCCCCTTTTTTAATAATGACCAATTTGAGAATTGGCATCCACAATGCAACCCTGAATAGATTTGCCCTTTCTTTCTCCAGTCCTCCTTAGTCTTTGGCAGGCTGAACAGTTATTTCTCTTAAAGAGATCAGTTACATTATCTTAAATATAGGAATAATCTTGTGTGTGATCATACCTTGGTCAGACTGTGTGTGGTGACTTGCTACATGGCTAAGTGGCTGGGGTGGGGGAGATGTCCCATAGCATTCCTTTTTGAGGATGCCCTGAAAGAGTAGACAGAGAGCTTAAGTGAACACAGGATAGGACATTCCCTGGGCTTTTCATACATAGTGTCCTTGCAGAACAGTTAAAGTTTAAGAGAATGTATGCTGGGGAGTGTCAGGGCTATGTAGAGAGAGAAGCCTGTCAGAGAAGTTGAATCTGAGGTAGGTACAAACCAGGTTATCTTAGCATGCTCAGCGCAAAGACCACCTTGGCAGCATAGCTGTAGCTGAGGCAGACATGGACCAGAGTTTCCTAGAGTGCTCCATGCATGGGAACCTGGCAGGACAGTTGAAGCTAAATAAGAATGACCCAGGAGGTATCAAAGTGCTCTGCACTGGAGGTGCCCTTTTACATCATCTAGAGCAAAGTGGTGCAGGCCTGGAATGTTTCATGCTGCTTTCTGCCTGTCACTTTGGCAAGATGAATAGAAGAGTGGTGAATCTTGAAGGGGCATATCCAGTTATGCAATATACAGGACCACCTTAGTGGGTCAGCTAGGGATGGTGTGGGTTAGGGGTCCATAGCTCACTTAGGTGGTTGACCAGCTAGGGAACACAGAGCCTGCTCCTATTACCACTATCAAAATCATGGGAGAATGTAAACCGTGTGCTTGTCAACTCCTCAAACCCAGAAAGGGTTCCCACAGCTAATATAATTTAGTAGGATTATTTATATAAAAGGGCTGGCTCTTTTATATTCTAGTTGCTCTTTTATTTATTTATTTGACTCTGAATACTTGGTTACCTTTCAAATTTATTTCCAATCATTTAGAGCTGGATTAATGGGAAAAAAAGGTGCCTTTTGACTCTGACAACTGCTGCTCCCCCCAAATGTCAAGGATTGATATTTGATGCCATTATCCCCAGTAAGGCTACAGATGAATCACTTCCTCTCTTCCCCAGCCCTCAGACCCACTCACCCACCAAGGGCTTTCACATCATGTTGATGATAAACTCACTGTCCAGGAGGATCCAGACTTTCTCCCTCTGGCAGAGCAAAGGCAGGCCTTCTGGTTGGCCACTGAATCCCTGGGTGCCTGGGAGAGGCCTCAATTCCTCCTTCTTTCCTCTCTTGCCCCAGAATGGCACCCAATTTTCCCAAGCCAGGTATATATCTTAGGATGAGGTGTGTGTTCTCATGGTTTGCCTGGTGGTACAAGTAGAAGGGTAGGTTTGTGGGGTGCATCTTCTCTCATGGTGGTGAAGGAGGCATTGGGGGAGTTGAGACCTGGTGACTCTCAAATAAAGTACTCCTTTCTTCTGCTCTCACTTTTATCCCACAGGGCTGCATCTGCACTTTAAGCAAACCCCATGACCTTGTCCTCATTGGCATGGTATATGCCCATGTGCTAGCACAAGTAATGTAGCATGAGGAGGAGGAGGAGGCAAATCTGGAGGAAGGATACAGCTGTGATCATACCTGCAGTGATGGTGATGTCTGTTCCCCACAAGGTGATGAACATGCCAGGTTTGAGCTGGTGGCAGGGCTGTGACATGCTGTTGGGGCTGCTTATCACTGACAGGTGTGGGGCATTAACTGAGACAGAGGCTGAGAGAACCGCAGAGTGTTGGTGAGGGCTGTGCCTGCTTGCTCCTGACCCTCAGCAGACTATATTCTAGTTGCTCTTTTAAACTTTGGCTTTTTTTCTGTTCTCCTAATCATCTGGGCTGGTATGGATTGGTGGCCTGGGAATTACTGAGTCAGAAGGCTCCTTATAAAACCTGGACCCTGTTCCCTCTGTTATCATAGCAGAGAGAGAACATAAACCATGGTGCTTGCCATTTTCTCTGCCCCAGGGAGAGTTCCTGCCATTTTTCCACTGTAGGCAGATTTTTAAGGGCTAGGTAATTTAGAGTCTAGCTTCTGTTTTAAATGATGACTTTGTGTGTCTCAGGACATCCAGGACTGGTGTGAGATAGGGTCCCAGGGATCCCTGAGGCAGCAGGCAGGGTAGGGTGCCCAGAACCTGCTGTGTCTGCAATATCAAGATAGAGAGGGACCATAACCATGGCACTTGCCAGCCTCTGTGATTTGGAGAGATTTTTCAACACTTCCCCCACCACTTGGCAGGGTTTTAGGGCTTGCTCCTTTATATCTCTTTGCTCCTTTAAGCCATAACTTTTTTCTGTGCCCCAGGGCAAATGAATATCCTCACCTCCTCTCACTATCACTCCCCACTGCAGTTTTCAACATCAGGGGTGGAGGTTCGCTTTGTTACTGTATCTCTATCTCTTTTGTTATTCCCTATGAAACCTCTCTGGTTGAACAGAAGCTGTTCAGTTAGTTCTCAGTGTTTTTTTTTTTTTTGGAAGATTTTGCTCTATCAATTGCTGTAGATTTGGTGTGTCTATGTGAGTTTAGGGTCTTCCTACCTTATCATCTTACATCAGGCCTTCTCCCAGTAGGCACTTCTTTTTTGCAGTTACAATGAAAATAAAAATTACTATATGTATTTTAGAATCTGAATATTCACATTTAACTGAGAAAATATCAATAAAATGAGTAACTGTGAAAACTGCCATTTTTTTGATGTTCTATTTACAAACAATGTCAAGAATAATGTCACCTAGTGATAAGGCACAGCTTCTTATTTCTGAAATGAAATCTAGCCTGGAAATGGGAATAAGGTAGCATCTTTTTGGGTAAAACAAAAAAGAAAAATAAGATGCTTAGTATATTTTGTTTCTCTTCGTCTTTCTTGGTAGTTGTTTTTAAATGAAAATATAGAAAAGAACAGTTATTATGATATCCTTTTTTAAATAAACTGATAGTATGAGAATATGTTTTTTCTGAGTTGGTAGGGGAAGTACATATATAAAGTGCTTCTTTTCCAACATGAAGCTTTAATGAAGAGACATTATAAAGTAAATTTAAGGTATTAAAACACTAAATAATTCATCAAAATGAAAACAACAAAAAGTGAATTGCAACCCAGACAATTGGTAAATATGTAATTATTTACTTTTATTGAATCCCTGAGAATAAATGTCAGAAATAAAATATAAACTTTGTGGTGAGGGCTACAATCTATACAAAGGTCTCTTCCCTGTGGCTCAAGCTCTGAATTTACATAAGCATATATTTTGTTTAGTTACCCGTATGAGAGGAAAATCTTCCTTGTTAGATTAAGTAAATGTAAGTTAAACTGGCATGAAATTGGGAAATATGGTAATGTGGTTTGGCTAATAGAAGCTGGGTGACTGACTACATGTCTTGGAAACACTTCCTTGAACATCATGTTTGTAGGGAGCACATTTTTTTTTGACAGAAGTGTTTTCAGAGCTACTTTCATGTCCTTGTTCCTTAAAGTGTAGATAATAGGATTTAAGGTTGGGGTCACCATGGTATAGAAGAGGGAGATAAACTTGCCTTGGTCCTGAGTATAGCTGTTACTTGGTTGCAGGTACATGTAGATTATGGTGCCATAGAAAATAATTACCACTGTAAGGTGGGAGGAGCAAGTGCTGAAGGCTTTGTGCCTTGCTTCCACTGACTTTATCTTCAGCACAGCTTGACTAATAAAGCCATAGGAGATAAGAATGAGTGCTGGGGGGATTAGAAGAAACAGGACACTAACCACAAAAAGCACCAACTCATTGACAGTGGTGTCCACACAAGCCAATTTGAGAAGAGCTGGTATTTCACAAATAAAATGATCAAGTCTATGGTTGTCACAAAGAGGCAATTGTAAGGTAAAAGTAGCATGGATCAGGGAATTAGCCAAACCACTGAGCCAGGAGATGGATGCTAGCTGTTGGCATAGCCGTGGGTTCATGATAGTCACATAGTGAAGGGGCTTGCAGACAGCAATGTAGCGATCCAAAGCCATTACAGCCAGAAGGATACACTCAGTGGAGCCCAGTGCTAGAGATATATAGAGTTGTACCATACAACCACCATAAGTGATAGTCTTCTCTGGACCTCGCAGGTTAACTAGGGTCTGAGGTGCGAGGCTAGTGGTGAAGCAGAGGTCCAGCAGTGAGAGGTTGCTGAGGAAAAAGTACATAAGGGTGTGGAAAAGGGGATCCAGGTATGAGATAATGATGATGGTGAAGTTCCCCACAAGCGTCAGGAGGTAGAAAAAAAGGACAAATACAAAGAGTGCAGCCTCCAGGTGAGGATGGTCTGAGAAGCCTAGAAGGATGAAACCCATCAGGGAAGTGTCATTGGCCCTTTCCATTTCTACAGAGGGAACTGCTTCTGCTAAGACGGAAATGAGAACAGGTACATGTGAAACAATTTATCATAGACTCACAATGTACAAGTTGAAGGGGTGAAGGAAAGAAACTTGTGCAACTTAATTTTTTACCCTCAATATGTAGTTGATTCAGAATATCAATCAAGTCCAATGACTCTCCCAAACTTTTGAGTGTTTTCAACTTTGGAGTTGTCTGGACACTAACTGCTAAAACCAATCAAGTGTAAATTTGTACATATATCAAAAAACATGAGATCATTTCTACTGAAATTAACTATCTCTCAAAATAAAGAAGCAAGTGTCATCTCCATGGTTTTAGCTGTCAACAAAAATATGCATGCAAAATACAATATTCAGTTCTTAACATAGGGAGAAAAGGGAATGGGAAATTTCTCCATGTCTTTCCTCTTTATAACACATTCTTACACAGTCCTGTGTGTACACTATATCAACAGAGAAAAGTAAGGTACTCATGGCTTTAAAACTTTATCTAAAGATTATAAAACAAAGTTGAATAATTAAATATTTAATAATTTTTATTTTAAACTAAATTTTTGGTTTTGTGGCTGCCACCATGTGCCATGCCCAGCTACCAGGTGCACAGCTGTCACTACGCATTCCATGCAGCTGCCACCCCCCACTCAGCTGGTACATCTTTTCCAACCTCCAGAATGCGGCATGTGCTCCCAGCCAACATTGCACACCAGACCCAGCTATGGCCAGCCATTCTGACATGCACACCCAGCCTCATATCACCAGCCATCCTAGCAAGCTGTCACTGCAGTGCTTCAGGGGACCTGGGATATGACTAGAGGTCCATCATGAACTGCTGCACTTCCAAGATTCCCAATGAGGACAACCCTTCAAGCTAGCTTGCCTGTGTCCCACTAACACCACAAAGAGTAAGTATAGCCCACAAAAGGCATAGAAGAAGTGCAGACAATTGCACTGTAAGGGAAAGTGACTCAGACAAAATAGCAGGGGATAAGCAACACACAAAGAAGACTCTCCTGAAATGTCAGGTTCTAGGGAATAGCAGACACTGTGCTGCAGGGCACTCTAGGACCTCTTCGGCATAAAGTCACTACTTTCAAGAAGAGAAGACATAGCTGACTTTCTTAACACAGAGAAACAGACACACAGAGACAGAAAAATGAGGAGACACAGGAATTTATCCAAAATGAAAGAACAGAACAAGGACACAGCCAGTGACCTAAGTGAAAGAGATACAGGTAACATATCTGACAGAGAATTGAAAGCAGTGATCATAAAGACACCACTGGACTTGAGAAAAGTGGAAGATATGAGGAAAGCCCTTACCACAGAGATAAGGAATAATGTTGCAGAGATAAAGGGTTCAATAAACTAAATGAAAACATACTTGATAGGATGAAGACTAGGCTGGAAGAAGCAGAGGGATGAATTAGCAATCTAGAAAACAGAGAAATGGAAAGTAATTAAGCTGATCAAAAGAGAGGGAAAGAATTATGCAAAATGAGAATAGATTTAGGGAACTCAGTGAGTCTATCAAACATAACATTCATACCAAAGGAGTGCCAGGAGAAGAAGAAGAGAGAAAAAGAGCAGAAAATTTATTTGAAGACATAATAGCTGAAAACTTTCCATGTCTGGGGAAGGACACAGATATTGAGATTCAGGGGGAGCAGAGACGCCCATCCTATGCAACAAAACCAGAGATATATGAAGATATGCTGTAATTAAATGGGCAAAATACAGACATAAGAAAAATTTAAAGCAGCAGGAAAAAAGGAGTCATTAACTTACAATGGAAGCCTATTGGCTAGCATGAGATTTTCAACATAAATTTGGCAAGCCAGAAGGGAGTAGTATGCTACATTCAAAGGGCTGGATGGGAAAATCTGTAGCCAAAAACACTCTACCTAGTGAGGTTGTCATTTAGAATAGAAGGAAAAATAATTTTCCAGACAAACAAAAACTAAAGGAGTTTTTGACCACTAAACCAACCTCACAAGAAATATTAAAGTGGATTATTTGAGTGAAAGGGACTGATCAAAAGTGACAATGTAAAAGTAGGAAGCACAAAAGCAGTAAAAATGAATATTTCTGTAAAAAATTAGTCAGTGAACTCGCAAAAAATAGAATATAAAATGAATGAACATATACCTAAGATGTATAAAGGAGAGAGGAAAAAATGTACAACTTTAAATGACCATCAACTTAATATAGACTGCTCTATGAAGAAGTTTTGTATACAAACCTTATAGTAACCATAAATCAAAAACTACTAATCAATACACAAGGAATAAAGAAAAGTAATTTCAAAAATATCACTGAAGAAAATCAGCAAACCATGAAAGGACAAGACAACATCAGAGAAGGTCTTCAGAATAAACCACAAAGCAAGTAATAAGATGGTAATAAATACATATCTACCAATTACTTTGAATGTAAATGGAATAAATGTTCCAATCAAAAGACATACCATGACAGAATGGTGAGGATGTGGGTAAAAAGAAACACTCATGCACTGTTGGTGGGAATGCAAAGTGGTACAGCCACTCTGGAAACATTATGGAGGTTCCTCAAAAAGTTAGCAATAGAATCACCTTATGATCCAACCATCACAGTCTTGGATATTTACCCAAAGTATACAAAAACATTAATCCAAATGATTACATGCACCCCTATATTTATAACAGCATTATTTATCATAACCAAGATATGGAAGCAGGCCAAGTGACTATCAGTTGATGAAAGGATCAAAAGGATGTGATGAGATTATTTATATATATATATATATATAAAATATATGGGTATTATATATGGATATATATTATATATTATATATATTATATAAATATTTAACATATTTAACTATTTATGACATATATATGTCATATATCTTGCCACTTGCAATTATGTGGATGGAACTGGAGAATATTATGCTAAGTGAAATAAGTCAGCCAGAGAAAGGCAAATACCATATGATTTCACTGTATATGGAATTTAGGAAACAAAACAAATGAGCAAATGGGGGGGAATGAAAGCAAGAGTGAGAGACTGAGAGATACAAGCCAAAATACAGAATATCTATAAAGAATAAATCGATGGTTACAAGAAGGGAGGTGGGTGAGGGAATGGGTGAAATAGGTAAGGGCAATTAAGGAGTGTCCCTGTGATGGGTACTGGGTATTGTATGAAAGTGTTCAATCAGTGTATTGTACACTTTAAATTAATATCTCATTGTGTGTTAACTAACTAGAATTTAACTAAAATATTTAAAATATTTTAAAAAGAAAATAGTGTATATATATAAATATTTATATGTATATATATACATATAAATATTTTAAAAAGAAAATAGTGTATATATATTTTTTCTTTTTTAAATATTTTTATGTATACATGGAATACTATTCAGTGATTTAAAAAAAGTGGAATCTTGCCATTTACAGTGACATGAATGGAAATAGAGAGTATAATGCTAGGCAAACTAAGTCAGTCAGAGAAAAACAAATACTACATGATTTCATTCACATGTGGATTTAAGAAATAAAATAAACGAATAAAGAAAAGATGGGGGGGCAAACCAGAAACAGACTATCTATAAGAACACACTGATGATTACCAGAGGGGAGGTGGTGAGGGATGGGTTAAATGGCTGATGGAGATTAAAGGGTGCATTTCTATGATGAGTACTGGGTGTTGTATTAAGTTTTGAATCACTATATTGAAACTAATATAGCACTGTATGTTAACTAACTCAAATTAATATAAAAACTTAACAAAAAGGATAAAAAGATGTTTCCATTCCCCTCACAAAGTAGGATTATGTAGTGTGAGTAGACAGCATTACTGAAAATGATAATATTACCTAAATAAAAATTAATTGGAGGAAAATAAATTAAATTAAAAAGACAAAATTGAACACTAAGCTTTTAATGAAAAGAGAGATAAAATGAGTACTATAAGATGATCACATGTATTCCTTTCAGTATGAGAAAACTAGGAAATGTAGAATGTCAAAATATATTTCCCATTCTCAAACAGTTTGCCTGATTTACCAAGAGTCCAATTCAAAATATGTTCCACTTCCCCACTGGCTAAAGTTATTCTTCCTGATTGTGAAATAATAGTAATAGAATTCAAATAAGGTGATTATATCTAGTGGTCATATTTTATGCACAGAGCAAAATATGAGTCAAATGTAATCTTTCCCTTTCTATAGGTAGTAAGGAGAATGTCTGTCCATGCTGATCTCAAATGACTTTTCTATGTTTAGAAAATTCTAATGTCAAATTTGTCCCTAAAATTGAGAATTAGTATACTAAATATGACAAAAGGAATAAAAATGGATAAGATATAAATATTAATATCAGTTAAAAGAAAGGAAATGGTACAACCACATTTTAAAAAGCAGGCAGACAGCAAGCTGACTTTCCATACAGATATAAATGAGTAACAAGTAGTAAAGATGTTTGAAATAAGGCCAAATTGTGTGAGAAATCTTAAAATGAGGATTCTCTTTGTGTTTTCCTAGGATAACAAGTACTAAGTTACTGTGTGTGTATGATGGGAGAAATAATAAAGGATTACAAAAAACTCTGTATCTTAGTTTGTTAAGGACTTTGAAATGGTTTTGAATAAGGCTGTTTTAAAATATCTGACTGTGTAGAACTGATTGGGTAAGCAATAATGAAGAAAGATATAGCAAATGATGTGTTTCAGTTGAAAAAAGCAATAGTGAATATTACCTTTTCACCTCTAATTCTAATTCAAACTAAGCCCCAACCACTGGGCAGAGTGACAGGCACTATGAACAAGTTCTCAAGGCCCTACTTGTGCTGACACATGCCCCCTCATCATCTGTCTCCACCCTTTCATACCTAATTTATCACCCTGCCATACTGAGCAATTTGCAATATCCTAACTTTTTGTCACACAGCTGTACCTTTTTCCATGCTGTTCTTCTGGCAAAAATATTTTCTCCTCTGGTCCCC